GTAGGAGGACTTTACACACATAGTGAGAGAGCAACAGAGCGTGCATCCTGATTGGTCTCTCTTTGAAAAATTAGGAAACGCACCATGCCATTCTCTCACTACGTCTGTCACTTGGTTTCTCCATCACCCAGTGTCTACCTGGAGTGGCTGACGTGGCAGGGACGAATGCAGGGACTAATCTTGAGATAGGCATTGGTAGTGGGCTGTAGTGGGCTAACAGAGATTGTAATTTAGGCGTTAGGGGCTTTAATTGAGGGAGAGGGAGTTTCTCCCTCTGAAAACTGTAGTTTATGCAATCTCCAGGCAAGGTAAGAAGTGGCTGCATTGTCTGCTCCACTCAATTATATCCCCCCCCCCATGTTTCCCTCCCATCCATGTTTCTCACCCCATCTATGTCTCCCTCCCATCCATGCTTCCCTCCTTTCCATCCGTGTCTCTCCCCAATACCTCCTTCCCTCTTATCCATGTCTGTCCCCCATTTCTCCCTTACTCCAATCCATGTCTGCCCCCATTTCTCCCTTACTCCCATCTATGTCTATCCCCCATTTCTCCCTTATTCCCATCCATGCCTATCCCCCATTTCTCCCACCATCCCATCCATGTCTATCTCCCATTTCTCCCACCCTCCCATCCATGTCTATCCCCCATTTCTCCCACCCTCCTATCTATGTCTATCCCCCCCCCCCGGTCTCCCTCCCTCCCATCTATGTCTATCCTCCAGGTCTCCCTCCCTCCTATGTCCCTCACCTCTTCCTTGCTCCACAAGCAGCAGACAGCTGCCTCCTTCACAGAGCTGGCGCCCTAGTGAAGGTATCACTGGCTCTGCACTCCTACAGATTGGTGCCCCCTACCTGCTCTTTTACCTATCATGACAGGGGAGGGGGGCTCCTTGAACTCCAGCGCACTGTCAGAATGAGCGTCGGGTAGTCATGTGTCTCCTACGCAGAATGGGAGGGGGTTCCCTTATGGAGCCGCACTGTAAAATCACAGAAATAATTTTTCTTTTTTTAGCACGAGATAGTATTCACTATAAAATAAAAAGCTAGATTTCTGGGATATTATAGAGTCTCCGCGGGCGCCCGGGAGCCGCAATTAAAATGCGGGAGACTCCCAGAACGCAAGGGAGAGTTGGGATCTCTGCAATGTGATACACCCTACTGAAGCTAATTATACAGCTCAGAATGGGGGTATTGCTGGTGGGGGGTTGGGGGGAGTAGATTTAATCCAGCAGCTGTGGAGTTTATAAATATATGTTTATATAATGTGTACTCATTCAAAGATTGCAGGAATTACTCATTAAAGTGGAATGCTGGGAATTCAAAGGGTGAATTTCAAATAGTAGCTGAAGTGGCTGACTTGGAGAATGATTTTAGTTGACCTATTAAGGCCTTTAATTTTAAATTAAATCTCCAAACAATTCTCACTTTAGTGAATATTGCTGCATGTGTCATAATACGATTCATAGAATATGTTGATGACCATGACGAATGATATATGGTAGGGATTTGAAAGGGCTTATGTTAACTTATATAGGAGGGGTCATGAAATGCATTGTCTTTTTGCAACCTTGCAACACACAGAGTATTTGTCGTTTCAGCATTTTTTAATTTATTTTTTAACTTATGAGAGTCTTTGCACTATAAACAGTTCAGAAAGAAGAAATGGTTATGATGGTTAGAGTTTCCCTTAAATCTCCTATGAAATGGTCTCACTATCGTCAAAAGACATTTCTTTTTCTGGCATAAAAGGTATTGATAAATCAACTAGTAAGTATCCTTTTCCCATAAATGCTAGGAAATAAAATGCTAGTGCTAAATATACAATCTGTTGGGGGTTTTTTGCTTGTTTTTTTGGTGGTTGTTATTTTG